AGTACAAATCCAAAAGTGTTAAGGAATTTACTGAGGGCTTCAGTGACACAAAGGTGAGTGCAACTTCTCGGTTTTGTAACAGAATTGAGGAAGGCTTGTGATAAGCCAACCTCAGTGTTTTCGATCGAAAACTTTACAATTTTCTTAATGTTATATTGCAATGTTTTATTCAATTTATATTATATAAGCTATGTTTTATGATTATATGATTACGGAAATGTGACCTTTGAACAAGTGTATCTGAAAAGATTTTATGTGAAAGTAACTATGTGAATAAGAGACACTTCAAATAGTGATTGAAAATAATAATGTGATTAATAACCCAAGGTATATGTATGAGAATGAGAGGTATAGTTGGCATGCCAAGAGTCGAGGGTTTTATGTAGTCATTCGGGACAAATATGTGGCACTTTGGTGCAAACCTATGTGGCACTTCGGTGCAAATCTACGTGGTAGTTCGGTGTAAAACTATGTGGTCCTTCAGGGCAATTATGTGGCACTTTGGTGCAAATTACAAGATGTAGTGAAAACGTTAGTGCACAACCTCAATGTACTCAAATATCTAGAGTTCTCAGTAGTATACATTGTGTATTTGGAACAAAGGTAAACAAAGGGAATAATATACATAAGTATACCTTTTTGATAGGGAAAATAAATTGGAATTCTTTTATAAAATATGTCGATAAAAACCAATAAAGATTTCATTTATTAAGTTAGAACTATTATTATTTGCCTCACTAAGTCATCGACTTAGCGTGTGATTTCCTCACACGTAGGGTTAAAGAAAGCTGACGACTGATCTGTTGAGGATATCATACCACTTGAAGATCAGATCAAGACAAATTAAATGTAGGTTTTTGTTAATTTTGTAAACTGTTGGCATGTATTATATGTTTAATTTGAAATGCTCTGATATATTTTGTAAACTCATATATTTTGTATTTATGTAAATTATCAAAGTTTTTATGTAAGTATAAATGAGAAATGATTATCTTATTTAAATTAAGGTTTTCTTATTTAAATTAAGGTTTTCTATCTTTTTATCTTGATTAAAAAATTTAATTTGTTCTTATTTGTTAATTACATATGTTTTGAAAAGTTAATGTGACATCTCAGATTCGTATCTGGGTCGGGTATGAGTTAGGGGTGTAATATTTATTGGTATCAGAGCTATGTTTTAATTGGTTTTATGTTTGAAATACAGTTGTTTTTGTTTTAAAAGGTTTACATGCTAACGTTTAATTAAGTCTTTCTGATATGATAAGGTGATTAGTATGCTATCTTTGCTAATACATTAGTAAATTGATTTTAATAGATGTCAGACTTTGATGGCTCCCGAAGTGAAGCGAGAGATAGAATAAAAGAGAGTAGTAACTCACTTGCCCCGAGTAGGTATGGTGAGGAGCAAGCACATCAAGGAGTGTCTATGCAATATCAAATGACCTTCTTCCAGACTTTGGACGCGATTCTGACGCGTTTCCAACCGTCTGTTCCCTTAGTCCCTAAGATGAATGTTCCTAAGGAGATGAGAAGCTTAGAAGCTCCAGAATTTAGAGGAGAAGCTGAGGAAGGTCCAGTTGCTGCCGATATGTGGCTCAATGACTTGAAGATAATGCTAGAGAATCTCCATTGTTCTGAAATGGAGAAATTGGATGGTGTAGTTTTGTTATTGCGAGGTCAAGCTAGAATTTGGCAGAGTTTAAAGGGATCATGTGACTTGGCCATTCTTTTTGGAAGAGTTTAAGAATAAATACATCAGGGATCAGTTTATTCGCCAGATGATGCAAAAATTCATGAGTTTAAAGCAAGGGATTTACTGCAGAGTTGGTCCCTATAGAGAAGGACTCTTGTGATTGGTTTGTGGAGGGCTTACGGCCCCGATTGAAAGAGTTGCTGTTGGCACTCAATCTCTTTTCTTTCCAAGGCATAGTGAATAGAGCTAAAGCACTAGAGTGAGCTCAAAACAAACAGTTTATGGAGCAAAGGACGCAGTGGAATAAGAGAACTAGTGCATCGTCCATTGCTTCCCAATCAAAGAAGAATAGAGGTTCAAGTTGTCAACCTCAGACTAGAGCAGAATCCGTAGCATCCTCAGGTAGAGGATCAAATCTGGGAAGAGCAAGACAAACTTATTCGGTGGAATTCGAAGTGGACAAGCCGAAACAATGTCAGTACTGTGGGAAAAAACCATAGTGGAGTTTTCTGAAGGGTCTCCGGAGCTTGTTTTAAGTGTGGAGAGCATGACACTTTATTCGAGATTGACCATTGATGACGGGAGAGCCTGCCCATACAGAAAGATCCACGCAGCACCTATGAGAGGTAGAGGTCGAGGTAGAGGAATGAATCAGTCTGAGTCGACCACTTAACCTGAAGTGCGTTCCACCTCTCGGGTATACAATTTAAAGACCAGTGAAGATTGTGATGATCCTAAAATCATTGCATGTATTTTTCAGATAGCTGGTAAATCTGTTTTAGTTTTGATTGATCCGAGAAGTGAACTGGTTAAAAACTTGATAATTCCATTAGAATCTATTCGTAGTGAGGTGATTGTGACTAATCCATTAAGACATAGTGCCCGAGTGAGACAAGTGTATCGAGGGTGTCCCATATGGATTCAGGGAATTGAATTCCCTGTTAATCTATTGGAATTACCCTTTGGCGAGTTTAAGGTTATATTAGGGATGGATTGGCTGTATCATTATCATGCCAACGTGGATTGTCGACTTAATCGAGTTATGTTAACAAGCTTGAATGAATTAGAGGTATAGTTGGCATGCCAAGAGACAAGGGTTTTATGTGGTCTTTCGGGACAAATATGTGGCACTTCTGTGCAAAACTATATGGTCCTTCAGGATAATTATGTGGAAATTTCGTGCAAATTACGAGCCGTGGTGACAACATTAGTGCACAACCTCAATGTGCTCAAATACCTAGAGTTATAAGTAGTATACATCGGGCATTTGGAACAAAGTAAAACAAAGGGAATAATATACGTAAGTATAACTTTTTGATAGGGAAAATAAATTGGAATTCTTTTATAAAATGTGTCGATAAAAACCAATAAATATTTCGTTTATTAAGTTAGAACTATTAGTATTTACCTCACTAAGTCATCGACTTAGCGTGTGATTTCCTCATGCGTAGGGTTGAAGAAAGCTTAAGACTGATTTGTTGAGGATAACATACCAGTTGAAGATCATATCAAGAAAAATTAAATGTAGGTTTTTGTTAATTTTGTAAATTGTTGGCATGTATTATATGTTTAATTTGAAATGCTCTGATCTATTTTGTAAACTCATATATTTTGTATTGATGTACATTATCAAAGTTTTTATATAAGTATGAATGAGAAATGGTTATCTTATTGAAATTAAGGTTTTCTATCTTTTTATCTTGATTAAAAAATTTAATTTTTTCTTATTTGTTATTTACATAAGTTTTGAAAAGTTAATGTGACACATTGAATTTGTATCATGGTCATGTACGTGTTAGGGGTGTTACAAGTTAATTCGACAGGTGAGTTGTTACACACTCCCTTGCAGATTTCAACTTCCCTAACCACCGTCCTGCTATGTTAATCAACCAACACCCTTCGTGGATTCTAGGTTAGCATGTAGTTGGACGCCGTAACCCAACTTTTGATTCATCCCGTATTGCCAATTCTTTTTACAAAAAAAGACCCACTGAGAGCTCTTGATTCTGTGACAATTCTGAATGAAACAGCCACACCGTCTTACCTATTTAAAGTTTGAGAATATATTGAGGGTGTTGTGCCTCGATGCCTCTAATCATTAGCTTTACCCAATAAAACTCGCTAAGGGCTCCAACTATCCTGAGAAAAACTTCAAAGGGAACAAACTACTAAATGGTTCGATTAGTCTTTCGCCCCTATACCAAATTCATATGAACGATTTGCACGTTAGTGTCGCTGCAGGTCTCCACCAAAGTTTTCTCTAGCTTCACCCTGATTAGGCATAGTTCACCATCTTTCAGGTCCCGACAAGCATGCCCTCACTCGAACCCTTCTCAAAAGATCAAGGACGGTCGGTGGTATACCCGTGAAGGATCCCGCCAATCAGCTTCCTTGCACCTTACGGGTTTTCTGCCTGTTAACTCCCACACTTATCAGACTCATTGGTCCATGCTTCAAGAAGGTAGATGGGGAGCCCACAGGCTGATGCCCTAAGTACGTTGATGGCGAAGCACACTAAACATCGTGTGATGGGTTCCATGGGTGTATCAAAGGCCTGGGCTTGGGCCGTCACCACGATCTGTATCGGTTCATGCCCCGAGCTGATCGACAGACTGGCTGTCGCCATTTTGCATTTGACTAGGGTGCATCTTCGATCCCTATTCACTTTCCTCCTAAAAATTTCAAGCACTCTTTTACTCTATTTTTCAAAGTCCTTTTAATCTTTCCCTCATGTTACTTGGTCGTTATCAATCTCTCGCATGTATTTAGCCTTGGAAAAATTTACCGCCCAATTAGGGATGTATTCCCAAACAACCTGACTCGTAGACAGTACTCATGGTGTGATAGGGTCTGGGTGTGATGGGGTTCTCATCTTCTACGGTGATCCTTTCTAGGGGACTTAGGCCCGGTCCGTCGCTGATGACACTTCTTCATACTACAATTTGGATATTGAGGGTGACCAATTATCATGGGCTCTTCCCGATTCACTTGATGTTACTATGGGAATATTGGTAAGTTTTTTCCTTTGCTTATTGATATGCTTAAATTTAGCAGGTAATCCCGCTTAACATGGGGTCGCGATGCGAGCACCACAAGTGTGATACCAAGAGTGTGAGAGAGTCCAGATCGACGAGTGCGCACGACTTAGAACGAGGTTACTCAAGGCATTACCATCGATCTTCATGGCACCATGATGTCGTGTACTCAATTTTAAACCAACCGTGAGTAGTTTACACACGAGAGGCCAATTTACACCACAACTCGACCGATACCCCATGGTTTGGGTTCGGATGGGGGTAACGATGCATGACACCCAAGCATATGTACCATCGGCCTAATGGCTTAGGGCCCAACTTACGTTCAAAGAGTCGATGGTTCACGGGATTCTACAATTCACACCAAGTATCACATTTAGCTACGTTATTCTTCGATACGAGAGCCAATATATCCATTTCTGAGATTCATTTTGTGTTTTCATGACAAAACATTCACATCTATATTGCACACTTAACGTGAACAGGGTGAGAACAAGAGACGACTGCCTTTTCATTCTAATTCCTTGGAACAATTCATATCGGGGTTGTTCATTTCACCTTAGAGGCACTGGGCCATACTGGCCAACAGCCTGAAGTGTATGCGGGAGCAATCGATCCTAGTATGTTTAGGCGTGGAGGGGTAGAGGGGTAATGACGCAACAAAGCCCCCTCTAGACATTGTTCGATAACATGTTCTCGGGTCGTTCTGCTAGACAGGTTTCAACAATGATCCTTCCAAAGGTTCACCTACGGAAACCTTGTTACGACTTCTCCTTCCTCAAAATGATAAGGTTCAGTGAACTTTTCCTGTCGTCACAGTCATTGAACCACCCACGTCATCACGATCTGAACACTTCACTTGATCATTTAATTAGTATGAGTGATAAAGGATGTGTACAAAAGGAAGGGACATAGTTAAAACAAGCTGATGACTCGAGCTTACTAGAAATTCCTCATTGAAGACCAACAATTGCAATGATTTATCCCCATCATGATACAATTTCAAAGTTTACCCGGGCATGTCGACCAAGGCCATAGACTGGTTGAATACATCAGTGTAGCATGCGTGCGACCCAGAACATCTAAGGGCATGACAGACCTGTTATTACCTCTAACGTCTTTGGCCTAAGCACCCATAGTCCCTCTAAGAAGCTTATAACACCCTTAAATCCTGTAGGAGAACAAAGCTAAATTGCCTAGAATATAAAAAATTAATTGAATTGAGATTTAAATTAAATGAATTAGATAAGGACCTAATCGAATTGCCTAAGATAAAAACCAAGTTGAATTAAAATTTAAACTACTTGAATTAGATAAGGACATAATAGAAAGGATTGGAAGAATAATGACCAATTTGGAATGATTTAATTAGAACAAATAATAAATATGATGATTGCATGCTATATTCCTTGATTCATAATCTACCCTTGAATAACTTATTAATTACACACGAAGTGAGGCTAAAGTAGACATTTCAATTCCATTATTAAGGAAAGTAAATGATATCATCTTCTCTATTACTCTTGATAGTCGAAAGTGAGAGGATAAAAAAATTTAGAGAGATTGTAAGGAGGGGAATCGACCATGCAAGCTTGACTTCAAGCTTGAATTAACTAAGGAAAATCATCTAGCATATCAAAGTAAGCTTTTCCTCTCTCTTCCTATTTTAATTTACAAATGAATTAATTGAATCAATTCTTGTAAATTTCTTAACTTTGATTATTGAATTGATTCATATAGTTAGCTTGCTTGATACTAGAAGTTTTAGTAATCATCTTAAATTAAGTTTAAATGATAGGAATTTTGTTAAATTGGGCCAACTATAGGTTATCAAATTAAGAGTGATAACCGAAAGATTTGTTAATGCACGTGACCAAATTGAGGAATTAGAAAACATGGGTACTGAATTGGAAAAATGGGTGTTGGACAAATTTGCTTGCAATTGAAATTTTTTGGAGATTTGAAGCATTAAATAAGAGGAAATACTATAAAATTTCAAGAATTTAGCCTTAGAGTGAAACTAGTCATAATTATTTCTATAGATCGATTAAGGATTATTTTGAGCAAATCAAGGTAATTCAGGATCCAATTGGACATAATTAAATATTTGTAATGCTAGATAATAATAGGTTAGAGAACTAAAAGAATGTAAAATAAATTGTAAGGCTTAAATTATAGACGAATTGATGGTTTGTAAATGGTACATTAGTAAAATAGGTAAAAATGGATTGTTCTGGAAAATATGTTAATTGGAGGACTTAATTGGAATATTAAAGGCTAATGCTGATATTAAAATATAGGGAAAATATTAAAATAAGCAATGGTAAAAACATTTAAGACAAATTGGTAGGAATTATAGGTGAATTGGTTCATCAAAGTGCATCGAATTGCAAGAGTGATAGATTGGTCACTGGAAAATTATCTAACTTCAAATGAAAAAAAATTAATTGTATATAAGAAATTAAAATACAATCCATACATGGTTGGAAATATAATTGAATTAGATTTCTAAGGGTATAAAAAAATTGAAAATCCAATGTGTAAATTAAAAGTTATGATCATATTACTACAAGGTGTACAATATGCCCAAATAGAATCTATTTAGTGTCAACTAGCTAATTAAGCTGGAATTTCTATTGTATTAATTATAATAACTTCCCTATGTTGTGTATAAATTGATAGAGCAAGGAATTGAGAAAGTGAAGCAAGGAACTAAGGGAGGATACACCAAAGATAAGCAAAAAGGGATAGTAATTCAAGGCTAACTTGGAGTATGGTGAGTGTAACTATACTAGTGTTGGGAATTAGGTCCCAACCACCCTTTATTTATATTTCTATGTTGAATTTATTATGAAATTGGTATGTTAATAATGAAATTAGGTCACATTATAACTTAAAATTAAGGTAAAGAAAGAATAATTAAAGGTTATAAGTTATAGAGTGACATATGAAATTAATTGATAAATTGGTTATTGCATGCTAGCATGATTGAATCCAATTGGATGATGAACTATTATATGATACATTGATTGAATTAAATAAAATGACGATCTTTTGCATGCTACCATGATAGAATCAAATATAAGGATAAAATATTATATTCTACCTTGATTGAATTGAATCGAATGTTGAATTATTGCATGCTACCATGATCAAATCAAATTGAGGGATAAACTATTATATTCTACCTTGATTGAATTGAATTGAATGTTGAATTATTTTATGTTACCATGATTGAATCAAGTTGATTGATGATCTATTGCATGTTATCATGATGGAATCAAATTGAATGATGAACATATGTTATCTTGATTGAATTGAATCGAATGGTGAATTATTGCATGCTACCATGATCGAATCAATTTGAATGATAATCTATTGCATGCTACCATGATCAAATCAAGTTGAATGATGATATATTGCATGTTACCATGATCGAATCAAGTTGAATGATGAACTATTACATGTTGCCAAGATCAAACTCGATTGATTTGAAATCTTTAATGAACAAATTGTTGCTTGTTGCTATGAGAAATTTGAAATTTAATGAATAGTAATGGAATGGAATAATCTTTGATGGCTATGTTACAAAAAGAAATAATGATTTCTTGACAAATAAGATTCAATGTCCTTGGTTAATAGTTAGTCCAAGATATAAGGGCATGCCTTAGAGTCTAGGCTAAATTATGTATGGGGGACTACGGTCCAGCACTACAGTATTATTATCTATTGACGGAGGCTACGCTAATTTGTCTTTGGTGATAGTAGGAGGGTTGACCAGCACTACAGTGCAATTAAAATGTATAACGACAGTTGGTTGGAGACTTGATTATCTAGATTGATCTAGAAATCAATGCTTAAATTAATTTTTAAGATTGAATCATAAGAGAGCTTGTATTAATGAATTGTTCAAATAGAATTGTTATAAATATTGAATTGTTTAATTCGAAATGCCATGTAGATTGTGTGTTGCATATATGGTGAATTATACATTGATCGAATAGAAGAAGAATTGAAATGTTTAATTGGTTGATTGTTAAATTAAATGTGTATGATTGTGTACTCTCTCCATGTTCGAAATTGAAGCTAGATCAAGTAGATTGTTTAAATTGAATGCTTTACTATTAGAGTATGTAGTAATTGCATGAAATCAATATATTAGTTGATTGTGGAGAGCATTATATAGTAAAGACTCAGTGAATTTAAGTGTTACCTCACTAAGTACTTAGACTCTTGTTCCTTTCTTTTCCAAACCACAGGTTCTAGAGTAATTGAAGCTCAACCTCCATAGTCAATCAAATCAAAGGAAGATTTCAAGTATGACTTGTTTCGTTATCTTTATACTCCTAGTTGGTGGCTTAGCTTTGAGTATAGCGGTTCAAATCTTGTGCATATGGTGGGTAATTAAGTTGTTTATGAAATGTACCTAAAAACCTAATGAAATAGATTAGTCTATGGAGTTAATGGACTCTAATGTATATAGTTTACTAGTGTGTCATTTGGTATAATCCATTAAGGGCCTCTTTTGTAATGTAATATATAAGTTGGTTATGAGATGACGATGTAGTATGTTAAGTTCATTAGATTTCTCGCTGTGTATATTGTTTGATATTAGTAATCGGCTTAATGAATTGCATATCATAATTAAACAAAACTACATTTGCTAAATTAAGTTTCATGGTTTATCAAATTAAATGGACGAGTAAATTGATCGAGATTTGTAATCTTGTATTTGAAGAATTTTTTTTGCTATTCTATTTGTATTGTGTATGAATGATTCAACGTTCAATGATATCGTTCTTGCTTTCAGTCTAGGTAATGCTCCCAATCCTTGATTTGGGTTGGGGTGTTACAAGTTAAATGGTAATTAGAGCTTTTGGTCGAGTCTATGACTAAATTGAGTCTTATACATCATATAAGATTTCATTGAGCCACCTAGGAGTTGTATTCTTGCCTAACCTAAATTTCACTTCTTGTTCTATCATAGAATGTAAAAAATAAGAATGGCTCGGGATAGTGAAAGTCCCTAGGGGTCCTCAAATGAAGGAGATAGTATAGGGATGGATCAGAATCCTACTCAACAAGCTTAACAACGAGCTCAAGTTCAAATCCTTCCGTAAATTCAATCCAACAAGAATGTCTCCTTAGAATGAAGGAGATGTTCAATCAGCTTATAGTAAATCTGAGACATAATCAACCTGTTACTTCTCTTGTTGTACCTAACAAGGCTCCTATCGACAAGCTGGCCCAAGATCGGATTTATGACTTGAGAATACCACCTGATTTATGACTAAGCAATTGCAACGCTCGGATGAGCATAAACTCAAGTGTGTTGTGGTCTATTAGCAGATGAGGCATTGAGTTAGTGGGAAACAACTACCCTGACTGATCCTGCTAAATCTGTTACTTGGAAGTTCTTTGTAGAAGA